TTCTACATCTTATTGTGTCTTTTATATATATATAAATCGATTGTAAAGTTACTGGGTATTTTTGGAACTAATTTTTTCCTATGCAAGGAAAAACAGCAACTGAACGTCATAGGTCAAACGTTTACGTCATTCGAATTATGACGTCACGCCAGGTATGCAATTCGGGTTTTGCTATGAGATACGGATTTAGCTGTGCGATACAGGGTAGGTGATACAGACTGGAAAAAAGAACCTTTATTAGATATACAAAATTGCTGTATTTTGCACTAAAAGACATATTAAATTACGCCATATTTATAGATATATGACATCTGAATCAAGTGTTAGACACTTCTGCTGAATAATCATATACTGCGACGATAGTAGAGTCGGCAAATAAGCTATATTTTTTGCATGTTTAAAATACAGAATCTCTTAAATCTTTTGAAAATTTTTCGATGCCCCCCTCCCATCTGAAGTATTTAAAATTTTAATACCCCCGCCCCCTTTTCCATTCCCTTAAATTTTCAAGACTCCCTTAATTCCGCCCACCTCCCCCTTTTCAGGTTACAAATGGCATATGCTTTTTGGTTATTCAAATAGCGCTTTGTGTTGCTGTCTCAATGACGTATAGACCTACATACACTGTCTTCTTAGACCATATGAAACGGAAATACCGTTTGCGCAGCGTGGGCGGTTAAAAGCTTAAGTTTTGAACTGAAAAGAATGAGACAAGTTAACACTATTAGGCTGAAGGAGAGACAGTGAGAAAAAGATTTACAAATTGCATTTCGGTTCTACGAATTGGACCAATCCGGCTGCCGTAGCGACCCCTTTGACATACACCCCAAAAATGAGGCGGAAGATGCAAATGAGACATTCAAACGCATAAGTCAAAGAGAAAATGACACCACCTTGACAAAAAACGAAAAACTATGATAAGACAAATAGGTCTACCAAACACTACATAGACTTTTAAAACTGAACAACACGATCCCAACCAAAAAACCGGGGTGCTATCAGGTATCTTGATGGGTAAGCAGATTCTGCTTGCTCATGTGAGTACACATTCGGTGAGTAGTCTCATTCGGTAAGGTCACAGTCAAATACTCCCCTTTTTATATATCGGAAGAATTACCAAAGGTAGAGAGAAGATTGTAGAATAAACATTTAAGATATTCTGTTTAAATTATGTAAATAATCTTGTTATAGAAAACTTGTAACTTAATGGATCAGGAATCAAAATGACGATTGACCTTTTTTCAATCGTTAACTGGAGACTGAATACGTGTGCATAACAACATAATCAATCGTATTATGCAGTAATGAAAAATATAGAGCTAATGAAAAACCGGATTTAAAAAAGAATTAACTTAATTTTTTCAAGAAGTGGATATCGTTTACTATTAAAAACGTAGAAAAATCACAATAAATCATTCATTGTATATATTCCGTATCAAATTAATTCTCCACTAAATCTTAAAATGATTTGTAGTTAATATGCCAACACAAAATTACTTCTTAATATGTATATCTATAGTTATTATATATTTCTGCTAATACATATCATTTCAGTTAGGCGGAAGTTCCTTATGAATTAAAAATAGATAACGGCCGGGAACTTCCATCATGTATATTTCCCAAAGCACTCAAAATACATTCAATATTTAACATCCCCGTCACATGAGCATATGCCTCTCAAGTACAGAATCCTACCAGTGTTGTCTTTAATTAAATATCATTAATGTTGTTTTTTTTCTTCATGGCATTTTACAATGAGGTTTTGACAGTTTCTCTGAAGTATACAAACAACTGTTTGAAAGTTATTTAAAGGCTTTAACAAGAACAGATGTTGAGAACCATAAATTGACTTTTCACGACTATTATTTTCTTGTCATTGGTTTGCCGTATACAATTTTTCTAATGAATAATAAGAGGGGAAGACTAATGCATGTAATGTGATACGAAAATGGACCACCCCATCGCATGTTTATGATTTATAGGTTTTAAATATCGGTGAACTATTGTTGCCTTAATGGGTCATTAGCTACGAGGTAAAAAAAAAAAATTGATTTGTTTTATGTTCAATTATTAATGAAAGTGATATAGTGAAATAATGATTCGCTTTAAGTAGCCAATTTGGTTCAATTTTGTCAACATAAGCTAAGATACATCGCCGATGAATTGTTCACTTGCAAGTGAATAATTCGACCTCATTGAATACGTATTCATGTGACCTTCAATTTGACCCCTTAGCTTGAGATGGGTTACGCATGTATTCGGCTATTAAAAGGAAAAGAATGTCAACATAGAAAGTGAAATAAGGATAAACATACTTTTTAACCTAAAATAAGAAATCAAACAGACCTAGAAAAATCCAATTGCACGTGGTCGCTATCTGTTTATATCTATATTTATGTTTATATCGGGTTATATGACCGGAGTTCATCGCGATGGTTAAGATGACGTACAGACAAAAATACACACGAAATGTTGATACATATTATCAAGTCAGTGTATTGTTAATCGTTTATTTTAGACTTTTTAATTTGGATAAACGCTTTAGTATGTCATAAATCAAATATGAGAATTTGAGTCAAATAGGTGAACATGAATTTGAAAGCTAATGCTCCATTAATTTACTTCACAAAAGTCCTTATAAAGAACGATATAGCCGGGTTGGAAAATTGTTCGTTTAAACATTTTTCTAAAGTTACTACGACCATTCTTTCTACAGTATAAGATGGTCTTCAGCAATATTTGGATGAGGTACATTCAACTAAAGTTGTTAATCAGCTGTGGATTCTTAATAAAGATCTACTCCAAAATCTTCAGTCACAGTCTTTACAAGTCTGCAGTAATATCAAAATATTAGATTTTTCTACGGTTTACACTTCTTTTCTCCATGCTCAAATCGAGTGATCGACTAAACATGTTTAACCCCGCCGCATATTTGCGCCTGTCCCAAGTCAGGAGCCTCTGGCCTTTGTTAGTCTTGTATGTTTTTTAATTTTAGTTCATTTATATGTTTTGGAGTTTAGTGTGACGTCCATTTTCACTGAACTAGCACACAATTTTATTTAGGGGCCAGCTGAGAACCACCTCCGGGTGCGGGATTTTCTCGCTGCATTGAAGACCCATTGGTGGCCTTCGGCTGTTGTCTGCTCTTTGGTCAGGTTGTTGTCTCTTTGACATATTCCTCATTTCCATTCTCAATTTTATTTTATACATTTTATCATTAAACAGAACTTAATTAAGCAACACAAATTAGATTTTCAGGTAAGAATTCCTTGTTTGAGGTAATGAAAAACATTACAATACTGAACATGGCAAAGAACAACACTGGTTCCAACAACACATACACCGAAAATGATCTCATTAACGTCAGTGCTAAACTTTTTGGTCGACAACATGTTTTATAGTTTAGTTGATTGATATTTACAGACAGTCGGTATTCCTATGGGTACTTATTGTTAATCCCTACTGTTCGATTTTGTACTCCTATGAAACAGAATTCACACAGACATTTCTTAAGAAAAGATGAAAAGAATCTTCAAAAGTTCTTTAATTCCCCTTTATATAGACTGATCATGTCACTCAACAACCCACAATTCAGTGAGTGCATACATTTCATATATCCCAATGAACTTGAGATTAAGGACAATACCAAAAACAAGAAGTTATGATTCATATCTTGATCTTTTCCTCGATATTAACACAAATGGACGACTTCAAACTAGAATCTATGACAAACGCGATGATTTCAACTATCCAATACTTCCCATTTCTTGTCAGTACTTATATCCCTCTGTCCTATGATATGGAGTTTACATATTTCAATTAATACGTTACGGTCATGCATACCCACAATATATATATGGAGTTAATTAACAGGAGTGTGCTTCGTACACAACAACTTCTCTAACCGAGTTATGAGGAAGAACGACTGAAATTGACACTACATATTGGTAACTTAACCTGTCACAATCACAAATTGGTTGACTGATACAATGTGTGTGTCTAAACCCACTAGAGACGATTTTTCTCTGATTTTGAACTTTAGATACCAGAATTATCGTTTTATTTGTAATTTTACCGATTGTGTCCAAATCTCGATTGCATATAACAATGTACTTATACCCTGTATATATATTTCCAGGCGATGAAATGGCTTATCAAAATGGAATATCATTTCAACAAGGGACGCCGACAACGATAAAAGATATTATAGTTGTTAAAATAAATTTAAAGGTGCATTTTGGTAATAATGCCCGTCACAATGCAAATATGAAATGACAATATCTTCGAAGGCTCAAACAACATTTGCTGATGGGATCAACTGGTTCCAATGGAGAGGAGACTTTTACTCACCGATGATGATGGTTAAAGTTGACTGATAAGTTTGCAAGACAAGGAAAAGGGTTTTGAAGACATATTAATGCACTACATATCAAAACGATATACGCAACCCTATTTACAAACTGACAACAAAGATTTGAATGGAATTGAATTGTACATTCTCGTTTTCTTATTATATACACTATATGTCCTTTGGTTGTATTGTGTGGATGCTGTCTAATTGTCTACTTGTTTTTTTTCTTTTTTCTTTTCTGTGTATATATTAGTTTTTATCAACGCTTTCTTGTTTCAACATTATTTTTTAGTATAATTATATTGGATGTTTTTTGTTACTCGAGTCTTTATTTTTATGGACACATTTTTCGTTGACCAGAGTGTTATTTCTCTTGAATATACGATTTTCGATTCGTTTAGAGATTATGCGGTTTCCGGTCCAGAATATGCATGAAATTATTCCCATTAGACTTTTGACCATTGAAAAAAAACTACTGTTGCCTCTATTTACACGACTTTTTCGCTACTTTTAAATTTTGTTTTCTTAACAAGATATCAAAACTATAGCAAAGATGAAATGGTAAAAACAATTTACTGATAAAAAAAAAGATGTGCGATATATCAATGAGACATCCACCAAACACACAAAAAAAGGATAGACATCTAGAATCTGTTTATGTTTTTATTTTATATATACTCTCCTGTTTTGTAACCAATCATCACAACCTACAACACAAATATAACGAACATTATTCATTAGATCGTTATATAGCAAAACACAAAATTAGTTGTGGATAAGTCTTCATCTCCCCGAATCATTCAAATGTAGATTGAAAACTGTAAAAAAGTATGAAAACACAATATTTGTAAATTAAGGATTACTTCAATTTATCATCTTATCATTATTTTTTATTTATTATAGGTTTTGGATTTGGCTATCATTTTCATGTTCCTTTTGGTCATTTAACTCTTCTCGTATTTCTGTACTTATACATCCTTGGCTTTCAAATATTTGGCTTTGAGCGTTCCTGATGTAGGTTATTATAAACCAAGCAGGTTATGCTACCCCTTCCCGAGCATCTGAAATCATTCCAATGCCTAAAGATATTTGGTTGAGTATCTATGTTAATTGATGAAACACTATAAACAGATGGCACATAGATTAATAACAAGAGAAAAATACCTTCTATGAAGTTATTTCCCATCCATAACGAGCATCATCTCAGTATGACAAAACGCACAGCATTTGGAAGCATATTGTAAGTCGTAGCACATGAGAGCCGTGACACCACCGAACTCATTTATTCGAACGTTACGGCACCATTCCGTCGATTCATCGTTCTGGCATGCAGACCTGTACTCTTCTATAAAAAAAAATGACAATTGGATTATGTCTTTGAATACTTGCTAGGATAACATCAATATCTTCTGAGACTTTAGTGATATATTCAATAGTTTGTCTGACGAAGTAAAATTTTAATTTATGTTTACATTTTTTAAAAGAGTATGAAATATAACTCAAATTAGGTTTTATTTTTAATTTCAATCTTTTCCTTTCATATTAGGAATATTATTCTTTTTCAACTGTGCAAAAAATTGAAAACAACACGTTTAATAATTTCATGCGTCGGAAGCGCTTTTCTGGATTTACGCTCAATGCCAAACATTTGAAATCCGAGGGATGTATAAGAACCGAAACAGTTGAAGAGCTATATGACAAAAATACCTAAAACAAATAGCCAAATTCATCTAAGGTCAACTTTGCCTGAGGGAGTTGAAACCTTAGTTTCTTTATAATTTCAAAATTTATAAACGGACAATTTTAGAAAAGTTTGTTATAAATCATGTCAGTACCGAAGTACTGACTACTGAGCTGATGATACCCTCGGGGACTGATAGTCCACCAGCAGAGGTATCAAGTATGACCTCATCAGGTATTCTTAACAAGTATTTACCATTCTGGCAGTTTAATTTCTTGTGTAGATATATATATATATATATATATATATATATATATATATATATATATATATATATATAAAATTGAGAATGGATATGGGGAATGTGTCAAAGAGACAACAACCCGACCAAAGAGCAGAACACAGCCCAAGGCCACCAATGGGTCTTCAACACTGAACACAGCGAGAAAATCCCGCACACGGAGGCGGGCCTTAGCCGGCCCCTAAATAAAAATGTGTACTAGTTCAGTGAAAATGTACGTCACACTAAACTCCAAAAAATATAAATGAACTAAAATTAAAAAAACAAAGGCCAGAGGCTCCTGACTTGGGACAGGCGCAAAAATGCGGCGGGGTTAAACATGTCTTTGTTCGATCTTTGTCAGCATTCAATTTGTTGTACTATTATCTTGTAAAAATAAGGAGATGTGGTATGATTGCCAATGAAACAACTACCCACCAAAGTTCAAATGAAGTGGATGTTATGTAACAATCCAACATACGGATTTAAAACCAATAAATGATTTTATTTTACTTTATTTACATTCGCTCAATAAAGCGATAGTATAAAACAAAAAGTGGTTAACATGTTCTTATTTCTGTAGCATTTGTTATTTCACTGGTCGATATTAAAAAGGAGGATTGTTGAAATCTGAAGAAACTTTTTTAATACCTTCCACATGCTTATGTCTCTTTCCAAAATAAGAAATCTCGTCAGTGGTCGACTTATTGTTATATTTCTAGTATGCTTTTATCAAATATAACATTCTTGATTTAACCCACTCATCTGTGCTCTCCAATGCACAGCATGTTTATCAATAACTGACAAAGTGTTATATAAAATTGAGAATGGAAATGGGGAATGTGTCAAAGAGACAACAACCCGAAGAGCAGAAAACAGCACAAGGCCACCAATGGGTCTTCAACACAGCGAGAAAATCTCGCACCCGGAGGCGGGCTTCAGCTGGCCCCTAAACAAAAATGTGTACTATTTCAGTGAAAATGGACGTCACACTAAACTCAGTTTAAAAGAAGTCCGAGTCAGAAAACCTGCAATGTGGCTGATCTTTTGCTCCATTTGAAATGCATCAGTGTAACTAACAGGTGTTTCTTTGCTTTGTTGCTTTGTAAAGGTTATGTAGGTATGTTAATTATTCCAGAAGATATAATACGTTTGAATTATACTTACACTGTAAAAATTGTGCTTAGAATTTAAACGTGTTGCAAGACTTATGTGCTTAGGAAAGTGTTAAATTTCTAAACATAAAAAAATAAACATGTTTTGGCTCTCAGCACTTCGCAATAAACATGTTTTGGCTCTCAGCACTTTTCAATAAACATGTTGCTGTGCTAAACATGTTTAGCTACTTTGTCAAGTATATAAAGCTAAACGTGTTTAAATTCTAAGCATTTTCAATATTTAGACACTTTCCTAAACACGTTTAGAATTACAACACATTTAGGCCGAATACGGCATTCATATCACGTGCTAATTTTTGAGCGGGAAGAGGAAACAAAGAACCCGAAGTCAAAGGCCACGCTGTTTACTTCTGACCATAACTGACCGTAACTTGACTGTTTCAGAAAGGTAAGGAGTTATGATTATACTGTCTTTTATTTTGTACTGCCAATTTTAAATGATTATTGACAGTTATAAGCATCATTTACAAGTACACTACCGTATGGTCAATGCAGGAGAGAAAAGGGGGTACCATCCCACAAAACAAGTTATAGTAAGAGCTTTAAGTGTTCAAACTATCTTGTGTATAGATGATAAGAGTTGTTTAATGTTCCATCATGCAAGTTTGCATTTATTTTTTTATTTATATATGTTCTTGGAAAGGAGTTTGTGAGGATAATTTTCGTTCAGTACTCCTCGGCAGATTATAATGGAACATGAAGGGTAGCGGAATCTGCCGAGTCTTATCAGGATGTGGTGCATCATTCGCAAGTCCAGTGTCATATCGAGTTCATTGTTTTCGTAAGCACTTCCGATATGCACAATCAACATTTCCTCAAAATAAATAGAAAGATGCTTGTTTATTTCAATAGTTATAAGCGGTTGTGATTTTTTTTATAATTTTATTGATATGTATTGTTTTATTTTAGATGAGAGAAGTGCTGAGGAAATCATCATATGTCTTGGCATGCTAAAAGAGGAGATAAAGAACAGTAGCAAATATGCTGCTAGGTAAGAATCAAAAGTGTATTTGATTTTAAAAATGCCAATATATATTTGATCAAATGAATAATATTAAGCATGAAAAGAAGTTTTATATTAAAAATATCAATTGATTCATCAGTAAATTTATGTTTTTATACCACGGTACTAATGTTGTTATCTGGATCTTAAATCGTGTTTTTACTTTTTGGTGTTGTAGTTCGTATTCTTATATTTTTAGATTAATTCTACTTAGTTGCTTATCAATATTTTTCTATATTTCAGGCCATTGACCAGCAGTTGGGTACTAAGAAAGGAGAAGCTCTTATTGACCTGTAAAATGAAAACAGGACATTTTCAAATTGTTTTGTTGTAGGGATGGGGTACAAGTAGAAGATTGGTCAATATTATGTACATGTACCTTGATATGAATTTATTTTTGATTGTGTTCAATGATAAACTGGAAATAAATGATAACATAAATTCCTTTGTTTTTATATGTTGTAATTTTGTTTTTAAAGCTAGAATTAGTATAATGATAATTTCATTTCAAAAGTTCTAGACTGTTTTACGAATATTTGAAATGAAGAAAAAATGCAATAGTCGAATGACGTGAATTGAATTAAAGAAAAAACTCATTGAGATTGAAAAGGTATTAGTTACATTCAATTTGATATGGAATTTCCAGTTTCTTAGTTTGATGCATTGGCTCTTTTTTGTGATGGTATGAAAACCTGTTTTATTGAGAGCTATCATACGTTTTACAGTCAAGCCTTCCGGAATATTAGTTTAATTGGGGCCTAATGAAGTAACGGCTTCTCACAATAAAATGATAAACTTGTTTCTTCACGACCCTTTATAGTCTAAACATGTTTACATTCAAAACACTTGACAGCTAAACTTGTTTCCAGACAAAACACTTCTCAGCTAAACATGTTTCCAGATACAACAATTCACAGCTAAACATGTTTACAGTCTAAGCACTTTTTAGCTAAACATGTTTCTAGTCTAAACGCTTTACAGCTAAACATGTTTACAGTCTAAGCACTTTATAGCTTGACACGTTTAGGCTGTTAGCACATTAAGTATTAAACATATTTAGATTTAAAACATGTCAAAAATCGGTTTCATACATGTGTTTAGGAAAGTGTTTAGGCTCTAAACACATTTTTTAGAGTGTACCAAACGCCAATGGTGTGGTTTTGCTGAAACCACATAGACAAGCAAGAAACAAATCGCTAGTTGTAAACAGACACGCATATTCATCCAGTGACTATTGAAGATTAACCCGGCACTACATTCAATAGTGGATATGTTTAACGCGTAAAGAAGTATGTCTATTAAGTAAGCGGAAAGTAGCTAATAACCTCACAGTTTTTCTCCTTCGCCATTCTTCCCTTCGGTTTTTCCCATGAGAATTTTTGAATCATTAATAATACCTAACAAAGTCAGAAAAATGAATGTAGAATCATAAAAGTTTGATATTGTCTCTGAGTAGGGTTATATGTCATCCCAATGACTGTTACCTTGTGATTAATTGATTGGGTGATAGGTTTGCTTGACGTCCAGTGGCAAATATAATGTACTTATTCAGGACGGGAACATATGGCAACATTAAAACCAGTAGGTAGGTACTGAGAAGTGGGCTGAAAATATATAAATAATTAAAACGACGACATCAATTCCCCATGCATCATTAAACTCCATGTTTAATACCAGTAACGGAATATAACTAACTTCTTTTAAGGTAGCATAGGAGTTTAAACAAAGACAATTATTGATACTCTGCGCAAATGTATTAAACATCGAGCTTTTTCCTAAAATTTAATGAAAAATTATTTGGTCACCGAGCTCAGTTGTCTTTAAGCTAAAAAAGTTGTGAAAAAAATTGACACATTTTGTAAGGATGATACAGGTAAAAAGCATTAGTATGTGGAGATAGCAGAAAACCCCCACACAAACAACCTTAAATTGTTCTTTTGGGGAAATGACCACCAATTTAAAAACAAAACTTGACCTATGTACGGTCAGCAAAAATAAAAGAAGAATGTGTCTGAGGACACGAATGCCCCCGCTCAAGCTTTGCAATAAAAATGGGATAAACGGACGGACGGGAAGCCATTACATTTGCGCGCATTACCATTACATTTGTGCGCATTATCGTAACGTTTGCGCGAAACTTTTTATTACATTTATGCGTATTCATTTTACAGATAACCACAAGTAAATTTTGCAACTACCCCTCCCGTCAGTCTTTAAAGTTCCCTGCTCACCAACGAGGGCGTGTTAGTGGGTTTTTAAGCACGATATGTCCGTTTTATTAATATCAGAGATTTTGTAAGCACAAAAGCCTTAAAGTTTATTAAATTCTTTCATATGTAGAAACAAAGATTGGTTTGAAAGTTTGACACTACCTTATCACGAACTGGACATCACATCCTAATATTTACAATGATGATGTTAATAGAGCTCGTAAATTTAGATACGATCAAATATTATCAAGCACAAGGAACGATGTTCAAACAGGTGCAAGTGCACATAGTAGCAAATAGAAGGGAAAAAATATGCGCAAATAGTTGCTAATAGAAAAATGACATACATATAAAATTGAGAATGGAAATGGGGAATGTGTCAAAGAGACAACAACCCGACCATAGAACAGACAACAGCAGAAGGTCACCAACAGGTCTTCAATGCAGCGAGAAATTCCCGCACCCGGAGGCGTCCTTCAGCTGGCCCCTAAACAAATATATATACTAGTTCAGTGATAATGAACGCCATACTAAACTCCAAATTGTACACAAGAAACTAAAATTAAAAATAATACAAGACTAACAAAGGCTAGAGGCTCCTGACTTGGGACAGGCGCAAAAATGCGGCGGGGTTAAACATGTTTATGAGATCTCAACCCTCCCCCTATACCTCTAGCCAATGTAGAAAAGTAAACGCATAACAATACGCACATTAAAATTCAGTTCAAGAGAAGTCCGAGTCTGATGTCAGAAGATGTAACCAAAGAAAATAAACAAAATGACAATAATACATAAATAACAACAGACTACTAGCAGTTAACTGACATGCCAGCTCCAGACTTCAATTAAACTGATTGAAAGATTATGTCTTCATCATATGAATATCAGGCACAATCCTTCCCGTTAGGGGTTTAGTATCATACCATCATAACATATATGAGAAGAACATAACCCGTGTCATGCCAACAACTGGTTTTTAAATAAATGTGTTTAGTGCCGATGCAAAGACCCTATAAGTGAATCAATATTAACGCCAAAATATGCAATCTTTAATGACCTGACAACAGTATCGTAACTATATCCCTTCTTGATAAGTCTATTTAAAGGTTTTGTTAGTTTCAGAGGTGAATACTGACATTTTTGTGCTTTATAAAGAATATTTCCATAAAAATTGGATGTGAAATACCTGAACGTATAAGAAGTCTGCATGTTGAGCTATATTTACGAATGATGTCCTTATACCGATGATAAAATTTAGTAAATGTTTTGACTAGTTTGTGATATCGAAAACCCTGGTGTAATAATTTTTCAGTAATACATAAATTTCTCTCGTTAAAATCTAAAACATTG